TTAATCCTATTGCCTATCGATTATATTTATTAGAGTCTATGAAGATCCACCTTATATTTCACATGTCTCTTTTGGAGCCGTATAAGATAGTGAATATCTTGGCAAGAAGACAAATGCCACCTCTTCCTATAGAAGTGGATAACAACCAAGAGTTTGAGGTAGAAGAAGTCTTAGACTCAAAGTGGCACTGAAATAGGTTGGAATATCTTATTCATTGGCGTGGATATGATATTAGTGAACGGACATAGGAGCCATCAAAGAATCTTGTAAATACAGCAAAAAAAGTTGAAGTCTTTCATCAACGACATCCATCAAAATCAAGATGAAGAATAGCAAACCTTTGCTATAAAAGAAACAAGATCAAAGGAAAATAACATTCTACCTTCTATCTTTCATTGTAACTTCTGTATATTTGTGATGAGATGGAACACCAACAACTAGTAAATTTAATTCAAGAGCTTTCATTTACGGACTTACCAAACAAGATATTGTGATTGTCACAACCTTCAAGATGACAGAATCGAGATGAAGATCCTCAAGAACGACATGTCCTTCTTCAAACAGATGGCGAGATACAACGTATTTGGTATCACGACTTTGGAAGAGAATTCCAATATTTAATGATTTTATTAGAGGTAAGAATAACTCCTAATGGTATTCCAAATATTTTATTTGAAAGAAGTTACAAAGGCCTCAACAATGACCAAATAACAGGGTGGTCTTCTTGCCTTGGTATGGGACACTATAGATGGTTGAGAGGACCTATCAACCATCTTCAAAGAGAGCAAAGATCGGAGTATGTAGCAAATACAATTCACCGCATCTTTGACTTCCTCAACATATGAAGACTGCTCCTTGTGAAACTCGTACCTAAAAAGGGAGGTAATGTTATGGACATATATATTTATCTCAATAGTTACTTATATGATCAAGTAGAAGTAGGTAAATATAGAATAATTTTATAAAGTCTTCTAGAGAAGCTTTTTAGAAGCTTTATAGGCACAATTTTGACTCTAGATGTGTTTGTAGGTTAGAAACTTGGCCAAAAAGCTAACCATGTATTGATAGCTTGTGGAACAAGTTATTTCCATGTAGTAGCTTGTGGAACAAGTCAACTACGTGGCACATATATAGATAACTTACCTTGCAAGATAAGACATGTGGCTAGCAAAGTCAACACATGTTGGAGGTCCTATAGGACATCGCCACATAGCTCTTAGTTAGATAGTATATTTGGAAGCAAGAGTGAAGCCTTTTTCACTCTTGTCAATGCCTTTCTAGTTTTAGTCTTGTTTCAAGACTTTCTAATCTTCTTATTTTTAACAATAGTCATTCTAGTTAATATTACATCACCTTTTGGATGACTTTTTAGTTCTCTTCAGTGATAGAAGAATGTATTGAGGATTCTCTTTCTATGAGATTCATATCCTTGATAATTCTATAGCAATTACAAGGTTTTATCAATATCTTGATATTTTTATGATAGTGACAGCAAATCTAAGATGGTCCAAAATCCAAAATGAATTGCTTCAAGGACAATGAGCAAGTAATTGGCCAGATTTGATTATACTTGTGTTTGAGCTCAAGAGATGTGTAATTATAAAAGATGTAAAGAAAGAAGTTGTCTTTGATCACGTTTTTGTACATATTTATACTATTGAATTTCAAAAGAGATGTCTACTTTATATGCACATCTTGATTTTTTTTGAATAGAGAAACCAAGATTAGATGTGTTAGAGATATGGATTGTATAGTTTGTATAGAGTTTTTAGATAAAGACAACAATTGAGAGTTATTTGAAGTTATTCTACAGTGTATCATCACATGGTCTATATGGAATGTAAAATCCTCAAGCACCTTATATGAAAGACGGTCATTGTATAAAGAAGTATCCAAAGGTATTTATAGAAGAAACAACACTGTATGCCAATAGAAATCTTCAATATTAATGAAAAAATAATAGAAGAATGTTTGAAGTTCAAAGAATGGCTATTCATGATAAAGATGTTCTATTTTGTCTAAAACTATCTTGAAAGTACAATTGTCATATTAATGTTCAAATATATATATATATATATATATATATATATATATTTATTTGTGCCATCAAGTATATTGACAAATACATCTATAAAGGCCATAATTGTACTACAATGTAATTTGAAAACCAACAAGATGAGATCAAATAATATTTGGATGCAAGTTACATTAGAGCTTCAAACATCACTTGGAGACTTTTTTGCATGCAGATCCATGAAGAAATGCCAAATATTATTTTTTTGGTCATTTGTCTTCTAGAAATGCATCAAGTGGTATATGATCCAAATGATGAGATAGCTAGAATTTAAGAATGTGTTGAAAGACAAAGACAATATTAATTTTATTTTTTGAAATGTGTGTAATAATTGCAGTGGCAAGACAATATACATATCAATAATTTCTAAATTATTTTATTTGACATAAGGCTAGAACGATGTGAACATTAAAAAAATATAATTTTTTTATTAAAAGATTATATTTTATAAATCCTACAATGAAAGAAAGATATTATTTGAGGCTTTTATTAATCTACATTAAGGATCCACAATCATTTGAGCATTTAAAGATTATTCATGGAATTTCTCATCCAATATTTAAAAGTGCATGTGCAGCTTTAAGATTGGATATCAATTGAGGATATTATTTGTTAATTTGCTATTATACAAAAATTTGCTAAATCCATTAAATCTATATTAAAGATTTTAGAAAACCATCTTGAATGATCTCAATGCCCATTTTCAAAGAGAATATGGAATTAGCAATCGAATAGAAGAGCAGATTAAAGATTTTGGGCTTTTCTTACTAGATAGGATTTTATAAGATTTTGATAGAACGCTTATACAATTTCTTCCAATGCCATTACCAAGAAACAATTGAAATGCAATAATTAATAAAAAATCAATTTATTATTGAAAAAAGAGCATAGAATATTCAACAATTAGAAGCAAATTTAGAGCAGTATGTTATATAAATAAATCTTGAACAAAAAAAGGCATATGATGATATTATGGCTTTTATAATAGAACAACATGGATTCATGTTTTTTCTAAATGGACCTGCATGAATTGGTAAGATATTTATCTACAATACTTTCATAATTAAAGTTTATTTGATACAAAAGATTTTTATATGTGTTATATAATGAAGAATAGCTACATTATTACTTGAGGGAGGAAGAACCATTCATTCTATGTTCAAGATTCTACTAGATCGTAACAAAGATTTGTTTTATTCAATTATCAAGAATTTTGACCATATTGATTTTTTTTGCCAAACTTTGCTTATTATTTGGGATGAACTTCCAATGCGACATCATTATTGTCTTGATGGAGTTGATTGTTCCTTTAGAAAAATTTGAGATATTGATTGCCTATTTCAGAGAGCAACAATAATTTTTGGTATAAACTTTTGCTAAATTTTGCTAATAATTGTAAAAAGAACTCAAGAAGAAATTATAGTAGCATCTTTTTGATGTTCAATACTTTGGCCTCAAATAAAAATCCATATATTAAAAGAAAATATGAAGTTGAATTCAAGAGTACTTCAAGCAAATATTGAGTTTGCCAATTAGCTTCTTCAAGTATAGAATGCAAACACACATTGTATATATAGATGTTAGTACATTTGAATTTTTTATAGTTGCATTATTATTGACTAATATTTCTATTTGCCACTTGCAAAATTAGAAATAGTACAAATTTATTCCCCAATAATATAGTTAAGCTTCCTAATCACATGATTGTTGATCAAAAATTAATGTCTTTAGTAGATATTTTTTATCTAAGGCTCGTAATAGACAATATAGCAAATGATGCCTTCTTTAGAGATAGAATCATTTTATCCATACCCAATGATGATGTAGAAGATATTAATGAGAAGATTATGACTATATTTTCCAAAAAAGAACAAGAATATTTAAGTGCTGATGAAATTGTTGTTGAAGATGATATTGACAATAATAATATTTATCTAGTTGAATTCATTAAGTCACTTAATTCATCTGGAATATCGAAATCAAGGCTTTGTCTTAAGATTGAAACTTTGGTGATGCTACTAAGAAATATTGCTCCTCGCCAAGGACTTTGCAATGGAATCCAATTGGTAATTACATGACTATGGATCGAGTTCTTGAAGCAAGAATTCTTGAAGAAAAACTTATTGGAAACTTAGTGTTTATTTTGCGGATTATATTAACTTATACAACAAAAGAACTTCTATTTATTCTAAAGAAAAAGTAATTTTCAATCCTTCTTGCATTGCAATAACAATAAATAAATCCCAAAGATAATCAATGAAACATGTTGGTTTGCATCTACAATAAACTATTTTTTTCTATGGTCAATTTTATATATCACTCTTTCAATACATTTCCTCCCATTATATCAAGATTCTTCTTCTTAGAAATGACAATTTAAACTCCACATTGAATATTTTTTTTCTAGAAGTTTTAATTAAATAAATATGAGTAATTTATTTTTTGTATTTCATATTTTAATTTATTTTTTTATTGACTTTAATACATCTTTGAATTTCTAAATATATATTTTTAATGTAATTTAATGTTTTTTTTTTACATTTTTACAAGTAATTCTTTGAACTAAATTATCTACTTTTTTTGTATATTTCTTTACTTATCCTACTTCATACATGAAAGCTCCATTATGTATTTTATTTCTTTCTATTTGTATTGTATTGTATTTGAATTTGAAAAATATTCTTTTGCTCACAAAAATAAAAATAGCTTCATTTGATTCAAACTTTCAGTGACAACTAGACGAGTTCATCTAGTATCAAAGTAAGTTATCACATGATACCTTTAGCACCACAATTCAGATTCTACTATTTGCCTTCTCATTGAAAACCTTACGCATATGAGTAATTCTAACTACGTTGAAACCAATATGACTATCCGATCTGAAATAAAACATACCGATGTGGTTTTAAGTGAATACCAATGCATATAAATAACATGAATTCCATGAAAACATGAAGTGAAAAATCAAAATGTATTAAGAATCTGGACACTGTAAGTGGCTGCAGGGCTCAAGCACCTTGATTGTGTTCCAACCTCTCTTTCCATTTGATGATTGCACACCGAAACTTCAAACTAGATGATTATCAAGTCAATGAGTTAGAGTGTACAAGACACTTTCCCACAAGCTTTGACCCAAAGCAACGACACGCTTTGAGACACCTCTGTCATCACGAAGAACGAGAAGCACCCGCTGAGCCACACAAGCGCTGGTCCTTACTTGCTAGAGATCACAATATGAGTACATTTAGGGTTTAGCATTTGATGTCAAATCGGATCCTAATAAAGGTATTTGATTGTTGACTGCACAGGAATCAACAACGGATGTTATTTCCAGCGATCGATCACCACATGACCTGCAGGAAGAAAATTCTGCAGAGAAGCAGCTGTTCTGTCTGGACTAGATGATTTGCCTTCCCCGGCACTTCCACAAGTTGTCTCATGCCACAACATCCTGCAAAAAACACTTTCTCAAACAAACTTGAGACTCAGAATTTAAGCCTACCTACAGCGTCATCACCAAGAGCAACTGATGTTTAAAAATAAATAAAAATAAAAATCACGAGGGCAATAGAAGCCAATCCGCAAACACATAGCTACCACTTCGAAAGAGAATTCTCCAGGGCGCTAAGGAAAAATATTATCCGCTACTCAGCATCCACTTCCAGTACGAGGAATATTAATCCATCACAGGCTCACGAAACGCTCAATCTGCTAAGCTACCAGTCTCCCACCCGAAACTTCAGACAGCACTCTTGATTAAGCACGGTTCAAACCCTAAAGGGACTCAAACTCTAATCCGAGAAACCATAGAGAATCTCACGTGTCCAGCAGGCCTTGCAATTCGGCAACAAATAAGACAACATCAAATCCAGGGAACACATACGTCGAGAAATTGCAGTCAGAATTACGGCACCAAGGGAGATGGCGAGAGAGAGCAACAACACGAGGAGACTCGTTCACACACGTAGCAGCATCAGCAGTGTGGACCCTGCCCACCTCGACGACGTGGCTGGCTTGTGCCACGCCCTTCGTCCACCTGGACTCCGATCCCCCCTCCGCTCTCGCCACGTTCTAACGTTCTCGTGAGTTCTATCGTTGATGTAATTTCGAAGAAGTTCCATCGATGCAAAAGTATCCGAAGATTCTCAACGGCTCTCAAAGTTCTCCCAACTCCCATGAACTATTTATGTACATTCACTTGTTGGGATCCCCGCTTATGGATATTTTCACACGAACCCTGTTCCAGGCAGAATCTGTCGCCTGGGAACAGGGCCCCGTTGTGGAATTCCTTGCTGTGCAATAATAATACCCTGAGTATTGTACTCCATGGGTGTTCCCAAAAGGATTCACAAACCTCGGTTCCCTCAATGGCTGTAATCCCAATCAACCTCATCACCCTTTAGCTTTCCTCATCGTTGTGATTTTCCTCCTCTTAAAAAATTATTATCTGAAATTAAACTTGTCGCACTCTAAAAACGCATAGTGATGTGGAATATCATTTCATTTTTTATTTTTTTATTTTTAGTATTGGATAGAATCTAGATATTTATTCTTTTGACATTCTGGGTTGATTCATATACTGAGTGGTTTTGTATTACTAGGACAAAGTATCTTAAGTAGAGCCTTCCTTCAACTTGAGTTGGTTTGGCATGCATTGGATGAAGATCTCATAGAGCCCTAGCTTCTAGTAGATTCTGTGTAGAAGTAGCTTCTGGAAACCCTAGGGTCTTGATACTGCCGAGTGTAACATGGAGCAATGGCGTGACTGTTCCTCATGTCAACCCTGATTCTTGAAGTGGAATCGTGAGATTGTAAAGAAATACTGTGTCACTGAATTTTTTTATTTTTAATGGTTTTAAAAAACTATGTGCATAGCAATCTAAATGGATGATGACACGTTACACAAAATATGCTTTGTCAGTTTATAAATAATTGTACGAAAGTAAAATTTTATAGCTTACGAAAATGAGTAATCTATGGTTTTGGGTTGTGGCTTACAATCGATTTAATTTGTTTCTACTTATTTGAAATTAGCTCCACTAACTTTGAAGTGAATGACATTCATCTTAATAAGCATCTAAAAAAATACACAACTAACACTGTAAAAATCTACTCAACGCATTAGACATTTGAGAACTGGTAGTTAAAAGAGCAAAAACAGAACAATACACAAATTTAGAATACAAGTCCAGGAAAGTAAACTACATGACGCAAGATTGGGCTCCTTTGTGTATGACAAATATAAACTCAGGAGAAGGAAAGATAAATAAATAAATAAATAGACATTGAAAGAATAGGATCGATTATTTTTTGGTGTCAAAGATTGAAAATGCTTTCACGTCATAGTGAAACAAAAACCACGTGGCTGAATGCAGGATGGGCTTAGGATGCTGCACTCCAGAAACAAAGCGTATGGAAATATTCCACGCGAGACTCAGAACGGGTGAGGAAAGAATAGTTGCAAAGGGTAAGTAAAATTGTCCAAGCTTCTTCATCTTCTTCCCACTTTGGACACAAAAACGCCGCTTAGACTGCACCGCATCGGTGGAATCGTAAGAAACACACCGGAAGAATGAAGCAGATGGCGTCGCCAAAGTGAAAGTGCAGGCCAGAAGCGTAATGAAGGAGGAAGGTGGGAGGTAGCAATAAAGCGGAGGACAGCGAGCGAGCGAAGGAGGGAGTGAGCGAAGTGGGAGGGGGGACAACAGAGGAGGCATCATCAGTTGCTGCTGGGGGGGTAGAACTGGGTCCAGGCTCCACTACAATCCCGGGAGCAGGCACGAGACGCATAGACTCGAGAGATCGAGGCGAGCGGGATAAGTGGAGACCGGGTTCCACGGCCAACCAGAACTGGAATAATAACATGAGAGGCGGAGAGAGGGGAGAGAGAATCAAAGCTGGAAGGGAAAGGAAAGGTAAAGGAAAAGTAGAGGAACGCGACGCGGGGCACGAAACATGGCACAAGTTTGAAGTGTGGCTAACTTGCAACTGACAACAACCAGCCAAGTTATGATCTGCCCCCCACCCCCTCTCCCCTCCCCCCTGCGAGAGAGTTAATATTAAACTCGTGCAGTAGTCTTAGTACAAGAATTTCTTCCCCTCGCTCTCGCAGTCACTCGCGGGGCTACTGTTCCTCCTCCTCCTCTTGCTCCTGGTTCCTGCTTGTCTCGAGCCCATTCTGGTTCTCGACTGAGTCTCTCTCTCTCTCTCTCTCTCTCTCTCTTACTAGTCTCTCGCACCATTACCACTCACTACCATCTTACGTCTCGCATCTCCGTAGTCAGTGTGTGTTTTTATTTTATTTTCCTGCAGACAGCGGGAGTTCTCTCTCTCTCTCCCTCTCTCTCTCTCTCTTTGCTGCTATTATTATTATTATTATTATTTTTCTCTTTGAAAGGTTGTTGCTGGTGGTGGTGCATGTGAGAGAGTTGGAGTTGGGCATTGAAGGGTAGGGGAGAGGGGGAGCGGGGTGTAGTCAAAGGCATGCTCTCATGCTCCGGCTTCCAAGGAAGGCCGGGGGAGACGGCAAGGAGGAACTTCTTGAAGGGTCGTTGTCAATATTACCATCCGGGACATTCCGAACCACGTCATCAGCACCATCTTCGTCATCGGGGGTGGGGATTGGAGCATGGCCGCTGCTGCTGCCACAGCTGTTGATGCGGTACGTTATGTTTATTCTATTGTTATTGTGCCGCCTTGGTGATCCTGTGAACTTAATATTGCGTCTGTGGAAAATGGGCAATCCTGGCAACGGTACGACTGGATTAGGAGTGTGCTGGCGATTTTGGGGAAGCGTGCGTTCGAGGTTGGCATAATTCTTTTTGGGGGCATGATATTGGTTGGAGAGCCTGTGATTGGCGGGTGGAGCTGTGAGATGTGGGGTATGTGAAATTGAGGGTGAGGAAAAGAATTCATGGAGAGTGGGGACGAGAATGCGGGGTGAGGTGCGGTGTCCGTTTATGTGCCGGATATGGTGAGTGATGTTTTTGTGGAGTAGGAAAGCTTCGTTGGACATGGTAAGGCCCCCGAATGGCCGAGGACTAGCATCTTCGGATGCCGTTTCGCGGTGCAGGTGCTAATAGCTGGAGCATGGAATGCTGGAAATAGGGTCAGTGTATCAATGTTTTTAGGTTAGATATGGTGTTCATGGAAAGCGATGGCGGTACGGAGATGATTATGAAAGTGGGAGCCTGTGTGTGCGTGTGTGTGTGTGGGGGGGGGGTGGGGTTTTGGGGAATGCAGCCAACTGGAACGGGGAGTCGGAGGGCAGTGGTGAGAAGCGAGCGCTTTATGGAGTGGCAACGAGAACTAAGCAGGTCCGTGTCTGCAGTTCGTAAGCCTGGACATACAAGTGCATTGCTTACAACTGAAAGGTAGAGTTTTGTTTTGTTTTGTTTACCTCTTCGGCTCTTCTCCTCCATCATTTAATACCGTCGTTGGTGCTTTTTGGTGTAGTACAGAGGGACGTGGGGTTTGGGGTAGGATGTAGAATGGTCCCCTGCATGTATGTATGTCATGTTCAAAGCGTTTACGTCCGTCGTCGTCCAGGTCGCGTGCTACACACGGCGGGACGATGGCATGCGAGGGTATAGGAGTTGCGGATACCATCCTTTGTAAGGTGGAAGGTTCTCTTTGAGCTCAAACGGGGGTTCATGGACATTGGTATCTTGCTGATTGCTATCATTTCGCGTGGATCGTGTTCACCTTCAACCGGGTCCTCCGTACCGTTGGTTTAACACAGGATCAAGGTTGTTGCTGAACAAGAATTGGTGCGGAACCTTTGATGGCAATGGTTCCAGGTCTAGTGCTAGGGGTTGTTGTGGTGTCGTACATAGTGCATTATTAATGGTTTGTGGGGGTTCATTGCGCTCACCGGAATTTGTGTATATCTGAAGGCAATCCAGCGACGAAGAGATTGTAAAGATGCAGAGGCTCGATGTGTCGGAGGAGATGAGAGAGAGGGAGGGAGAGAAGGAGCAAGCGGGAGCAGAGTCTCATGGAGGGGCAGATGTCACTTCCGCAACTCAACGACAGAGAGGCAAGAAAACGCAACATCAGCGACAGCGATCGGATGTGAAATTGCCTCGGAAGGATGAGGGAGGGGATAAGAAGAGCAGTGTGACGACCCTAAATGAGGTAGCAGCGGGAACAGAGGGCGATGGAGGTAGAATGAGACGATGCAAGCAACAGGTGAACCAGGCACCCGCATCCAGGCGGCCAGTATCCCAGGTGCCTAGTCAGCAGGAGTTTCCTCAGCCCATTTCTCGAAGTAGACAACGACGTGTGCCTAGGTCGTTCACTCCGCCGAAGGAAGATATGGAGAGAGGGCTACGATCCTTGACCAGGTATTGTTGAGGTGCCTTTACTTGGAATCTCTAGGCTATCTATCAGACCGCCTCTCATTCACTGAGGGTATTCGTAGTCGCTGGTAATCTTCATATTCTACGAGGTGCATGGTCTCTGAAGTTATGGTTAGCATTGAAGGGCACGGACTTGGAAATAATGCTTTTAAAATTTTTACGTGCATGCACCACAGCTGGGCACTACTTCGGAGGACTAGTTACAAGGATTTAATTTGTAGGGTACTTTCCGCTGCGTGTATGGTAGAATACTTTTCTACATTTACCAGATGGATCGTATGTGTGGAATCCCTTTGTATTTATGTTTTAGTTTATAGCAAGCGATCGTCTCTGGTATTAGGTTTCAAGTGTTATATTGTGCGGTTGAACTTCCGAAGTTCGTTTTCATGCTGAGTGGGATGATTAGAGGAGATGCTGTAGTCTACTAAATTCCTGAAAGGCAGTTAATGTCATGCGAGGGAGAAGCGACCATGTCGCGTAGCTGATGCAACGAGGCGTTGAAGTCGGGGCAAAGTAGTAGTAGCGGTGTCTCAGTTCGCTTTCCAAGTCCCTATGAGCGTGCAAATTTGGAAGTGCTGCTGTCTGTTCTAACCTGTTCGGTGTTTATAAGATCGAGGCTGGTGTGCCTTTTAGGGTCACTTGGACCGTTGAGTCAGTAGCATGCGGTAGATCTTCAGAATCTTGAGCAATCTTTTCCATGGCTGTGTTCAGAAGTGAGAGCTGTGGTGAGTGCAGGAATCGTGGAAATGAGGCTGTGCCTGCTACGATTATAGCAGCGCCAACCAACAGCAGCAAAGGAGCTACGAAGCGATCGAAGCGAGTGGCCCAGCGTTTGGCCAACGAAGAACCTGCTCCACCTCCTTTGAAATTGCCAAAGCTCCACCTTGTTCTGACACGGAAAGAAATCCAGGAGGACTGGTTGAAGATTACAGGTCACAAGTATACTGGTAAACCCAGAAAGTCTACGCTTATTCAACGGGTATGTCTTTGACCTCCAAACATATCAGCATTGCATAATCAGTGCCAGTTCTTGTTGTGTGTACCTATGCTTGTCTGACATTGCTATTGAGAGTACCAATTTGTTGGTTGCCTGTTTGGTGCGTCGTCATTCTCTCCAAGGAATGGGAAGAGGCTTGTTTCGAATTTTTCAGACATGAGTGTGGACTTTGTCGTAAATGCTATGAAGAGCATCTTAGTTCGAAGGAGTTAACTGTTATTCCTGTGCAGGGTCTGGGTTTATGTACGTCTTTGACATGTCCGTCATCCATTCGATACCTCAACGAACCCCTATGTATGTACTCATTCCCTCGACTGCCAGTAATGATTGACCATGTTCTGAGCTGTGATGCATCCCCGCTCCGACTATTCTCATTCTATGTGTTTCTCGTATTCTTAGGTTTGAAGCTATGTTCTTTGTTGTGGTAGTATGGCATTTTGCTATACTGATTACAATTTGTGTTTAGAGTGATCCAGCATCGCAGGTTCCCTGACAGCATTTGAAGGCAGCAGCGACAGGCTGCAACTGGCTTCACAGTTCCGACAACTGGCTGGTAGTTTAGCAGATTCGTCATGGGTTCATTCTTTTGCCTACCCCATCAAACCATTGTTTGAGCCTCCAGTACTTGAAAAGGAAGCATTTTGTACCATAGTATTGACTAATAGCGCATGGTGAGTATCAAAGCAGGGTAGACACTTCCTGCCATAGTGGAGTGGATCTGCCTACCATGTTGATGGTGTATCCGCTGGCGTGGCTCTGGTAGGCATGTGTAACGAAATGACGACAAGTTTCACTTGGTCTTTTCAGCAATCCTGGTCATGTGCGAGATAAAGTGTCCTGGTGGAGCTCACAATGTTGTGACGAGGTGGCTGTGTATCTATATTGTACTTCAGGATAGTTTCGGCAAGTTTGATGTCGTGGTACTCAGATACTGATATTGGCAGCGTGATACAGGAGGTCTCAGTGTCGTGGCTGTTGAATAATGTCGTCGGGATCGTAGTCAGCAAGCATCTTCTAACTCAATGAACTCGATATCTGACATTGATATCAAGATATTTGCAGTTTCTTTCTTTCTGTTGTTTATATCTTCTGAAGCCATTGGGGCCATGCACCAGAAGTATTGGGTTGGATGGATGCCTGCTTGAATGTGAAGCTTATCATGCTGTCCTCGATGCCTATGCTTCGTTGTTCACCTCAGAAATCACTTTTCATTATTTTGTACTAAGGTTGTGTCGTGTCTTGTAAATTGTACCCGCATCTTGTGCGGCACCACTCCCTAGCAGCGTGTGGCCCAGCCGGTGCCTGGTACTGGATGAAAAAAGAATTCAAATGGCTCCTCGGTCCAGGACATTTTAACAAGCCCTAACCCATTAGTCCTGTCTAACTGCTCATAAATGATTGTGTATTAATTTCTAAAACCCCGAACCCTGCTCCCCTTATACCAATACCTTAGGCGCTCCCAACAGTTGGTTGATTGTCTGAGCTGCTCACAAATTCGGAGGCAACCACCCGACATCTATATCTGTACATACTCATGGGTGACGGACGGATGAAGCGAAAAAGGTCAGAGTGCGAGCTGGATACCTGTTCTGCGAAATCGGGACAGGCTCCACAGTTGTTTATGTGGCAGTAGTAGAATGGTTCAGTTCTTTTATTTGGTTGGATCAAGCGAGACAATTCGTTGCACCTTTTCCAACCGTCTACAATTTCACTGAATTGGTAGAATGTGGTCGACCTCCGAGAAATGCTCAATGATGAATCTGATGAACTCATCATTCATCCCCTGTGAGTCGGTGAAGTCCCCCATCACCACACATGGGAGGGGTGTTGTGGAAATTCTGGTCACTGAAGCAATTAATAGCGCCTACTTAAAACATCTGGTTTTGTCGACGGCTTTCTTAACTGATAAGAATCTTCAAAATAGGAGCTGCTCCACTAGGGTACTCCCACGTATCCGGATACAATGGAGAAAACACCCGATTGAAGTGCAGGATTTCATGCCCATTCGCTGACAGGTGTTTACTGAGAGAGCCGATGATTGGATAATATGATCTGGATACACATTTATGCAAAAAACTGATTATGGGTTGCAATCGGGACATCTCCAAAGTGTTTCAGGTGTGTACGAAAGGCATGAGTAGCAACGATTCACGCCCAGTATCTACCCATTCTTATGAACACGAAACAGCAAATCACCCACCACCTCAAGCCTCAGAGTCTCCGAAGCAGCGACCTCCGTAGGGCAACCACACTTTCTTCGGCAACCCAGACCCTACCTCATCACTAATTGTTCAGAAGCGTCTTTTTGCAGCCTTTGACAAATGTTGTTCTGAAACGAATTTGTGGTCGAGGAATTCATTCTCTGAAGACACATGTGGCCCATGCGGCATAATTCCAGTTGCCGGCAAGTCGACGAAAGTCGTCAGTGGGTCCTGCGGACGAAGACCTGGGCTCGGCAGCTGGCTCCGTATCCGTGGTGATGTTTTCCGTCGACGAGCCTTGAACGAGAGCAACTGGAACAGCAGAGAGTTTGCGTGATAATCTCGTTGTTCCTATTGTCCTCGTGCTCTTTAACGCTACTTAGGAATTAGTTCAGATTGTTTAGAATTGGTGTTTGATGAGAAATTCTGTGCAGATTAAGTGACAGGAAAGTACCACTGTAAGAGAAAGATCTTATTAGTAAGCACAGAGGGGTGGGGACTGTCGAGAGATTGTAATATAGTTTTTGATGTTGTGACTGATAAATTTAACTATATCCGGCGCGCACGTTGGCAGAATCTATGCTGCTATTTTTGACGGCGAACTGTCGAGGCCACTAACGATTAGACAACTTTGCAGAGCATGTGCTTGGAGACACATTAATAACAGCCCATGAGCTTGGAACGAACGATCTATTAGGTTGTCTGCCAATCCGACTCCGCTGGCATTATGACGGAGTGCGTACTGTTTAACACAATGGACAGTAGCGTGTTGAAAGTCATTCCAATTTGTTGACTGATATAAAATTGCTTGGCTGACAAGTAGTTTTCCTACTTCTTCTTCACCCGACGATTTTGTATTAAATTGTAAGCATGAGCTTTCTACGGATAAGGCTTAACTATGGCTAAATGGCTAGGCCGGTCAGGGTCGCAGAGTATGCGCATTCTTCTCAGACGTTGGGTGAGAATCTATAGTTAGAGCAAAGCATACTTGCTTTTTAGGTCCATCGTAGGAAAAGAGGATTGCGTTGTTTTGTAAATAGAAATGTTGCATCCTGTCGGCGGATCCATCAGGTCGGAGAGGAATAGTTTTAAAGGTAGGTCCACACGACATTTTCATGAGAAAGAGGCACAGGTTAGGTGGCGACGTCAGTCCAGTAAGAGAGTGTTAATAGCATGGAGAGCACCTTAGTTACTGCTGCTACTACTCTCTTGCTCAGGTTCATAAAACTCTAGTAATGCCTAGTTGAGGCAAATTATTGTTAAAGACCCCAATCTTGGGCTTGCTGAGCATGTAATGAAATTTGGTACTGTGTGAGACACAAGATGTGGAATGGACTGGCGAAATTGCTCCTCTGAGCTACCAACAGAGTGTAGAGCAGGGAACGACGGGGCTTGTGGGTTTCACCTGGAAGAGGGTATTACTACTGAATGAGCAATCATTTTTTAGAACATCAGGAGGTATGAGTGATGATTAGGTTGTCAGATTGAAGGAGTATTGACACTGTTGTAAGTTTAAACTAGCTATAGATAAGAAGCTAGAGGACAATGGCAAAGGGCGGAAATAGTTCGAGCGCAACAATCCAATATCTGCTTCGCTCTCTGATTTTCCACTGCTACGGGCAAGAACGACGTAGTATGACGATGTGCTAGACGAACTTCAGGAATCCAAGTTTACTACGTGTGTCTTATCACAGATGAACTTAACTCGACCTTTAACATCTAAGAAGAGTGAGCATTAGCATTGTGGTGGAAAGGACGATTTAAGATTGGAAAGATCACATGAAGTGATTGAACCGGAAGTGAAAAAGGAAATGCTGATGGGCACGCCTCCTGGCCAACTTCGCACTGGACTATTTTTTGTGAATGAATTTCAGGATGCAGAATCTCTCTCCTCGCTATTATATCACTTGATCACGGCCGCAGGCTTCTTCAGTAGGTAATGCCGAATTTTTGTGTTTCTAACATTATGCAATGGTTAATGATGCTAATCAGTCGAACTCTCAAAATCATGGTTGGTGCACTCTATCTAAAGGTTGAGATGCCGCATGTTTTAAGTATATTGTGCAACACTAAATATTTGTTGCAAGCCATTGGTATATCTGCTAATTTTTGGTCAGTCTTGCGGAATGCGTCCCTCTTTAAGCTAATTTTACTTTCATAGTGATTTTTTTATTTTATTTCTAGCAAATGTTATGATGTTTTGTTTCTTGCACTGTGAAATTTTACCTCTGATGCTTTTAGTGGTAAGAGGATTATCTATCTAGCTAGCAATTGGATTAATTATATGAAAGGAAATAGAGACATCAATTAACTGGTCCTAAATTCTTTCATCGCTTGCTGCCCACTTTTCTCGTAATTATTTTTATATTTATTTTCCTGTTGAACACTGATAGGTTTTCTCTGTAATTCAAAACCGGGGTAAAGTCACAAAATTTGGTTTATTTCATCATTGAGAGTTGGAGGCATTTAATGTCATAACATGTTGTAATTTGAACCGCTCATGTGTCCAGTATTTATCATATATGTATCTTTCGTTGGGTTGAGACGGTGATCGAAGGACACATCCATGTTTGAATCAGAAAAGCTTCAGGCGAAAGGATTTATTGGTGCAAACGTTGAGATGGTGGTTTTTGACACTGGTGCTCATGCTTACAATCCACACTTCCGAAATATAAAGGCAAGTCTAGTTAATATGATGTTATCTATATATATATATATATATATATATATATATTTTAAAATCGAGACTAGGCTTAACTTTGCACTGAGGGTTGGAAATTCATGATATTGTTTAAATTTACTGCATCTATACATTGAATGGCATGACAAATTCCTTTTCTTTATCATTAGGAAGTTTCACAGTACAGATTGAAGTAAACCATCTTAATAACTTGGTTTCTGAGTTATTAATATTTTGTGTAAGCGATCTAATTGAAAACATTATGATTTTTTGTTATTTCCTTTTCTAGGTAATTATGGTCAGAGCATTAATGTGCGTTTTGGTTGATGTGTGCTTCCAAGAAAAAAAAAACAAATTGAACTATCGAAGACATATTCAATGACAAGCTTGGTTATAGCACCTTAGTTGCAGGAGTAAGTTTCCACTTGAGATCCTCAGCGTCTTGGGCTTGCTCCAGGTGCTGAAGCCTTCTACTTCCTCGTCTTTACTGATGCTCCCATAATGGTATTAATTGCGATATTCCTCTAGTTCTCTTAATTATGTTAATTAAGTCACAAGGTATTGAAGTGAAGCTAGTTATACTCGCCCGCTGCTCTCGGTTCTCTTCTCATCACACTATTCCCGTGAGTCGCATTCTTCATTCTTTCACTGCCAGTTCGGGCACATTAAAATTTACAAATTCTGCTCAGTTAAAACAAAGTTGAATGTGCAAAGTTGAATGTGCTTTGCCCAAAAATGTGCTGGTCCGTCTTGGATGAACACCGATTTCAGAATATCGTCTTACTCTGTTCATCCAAAGTTAGGAAGAGGAGGGAGACTTCCATGCTAGCCATGTATAGGTACAATATATATATATATATATATATATTAATACTCATGGAAACCCGTGCTATTGGCCATGGAAAAGGTGTAAAAGTTTGCAGAATAATTGTACATCTAGTGATTTTGTGTTGTCTCACATGTGAAATCATTGAAGTTTAGGAATCTAACATGTTGGTTGTGGGCAGATCTGGTGGTAAAAAGCTGCATTTTTAGGTTATGGACGAGAGTTGGTGGAATCAAAGATATGCACAGAATGCAAGTCTTTTCCTAGAACGAGTGAGGCCTGCCCAGTAATGGATGGAGCAATTTGCTTGCTTGCCAAAGAAATTACCCAAAAGGAAAGATGGAATCTGCTCAATGCTTCCAGCATAAAACAGGCC